CAGAATTAATGTCTGATAAAAGTTATCGGTAAAACTATACCTCGAGAAACCAATCAAGATCAATATATCCAGTGTTAAATATAGGTATGAATTTAAAACGTTATCATGAATCGTTGCTGGATATCCTGATTTGGACCACACCTTGTATTTTGTAAAGGTTAAATGATTATTTTCTTGTGTAGTAATTTTTAATGGTCAGGATATTAGAGTTAGGAGTGTTAGATCCATGAGCTAAAGGATAAGTTTGTTGTTAGGAGTTAAAGTTTAGTTGGGTCACGGTACTATGATTGTCGGCTTAATGTATCAAGATATAACTCTTAATCCACTGTTATCTTATCATACTTTTTAAGTTTAAAACTCCATAAAATCTGCGTACTACTTCATTACTTCCTGACTTTTAAGATCACTGAAAGCCATCAATATGGAATAAATTACTAAATCATTTAACAAATTTTCATATCAATTCAAATAAACAAAGATAAATATTTCTTTAAAGTGAATAGAACATTTCGTAGAGTAATAAGAACTGATTAGCAGAATGTCATTTATTCTACAATGTTAGTGTGATCATTGTTTGAGTATGTATTGATGAGTATTTAGTAGATTGATACCGGAAGACTTTTTTAGACAAAATAATTTGATAACGAAACATATATTTCATGAATACAATAAACCATAGAGATAAACAATGTACTTTCTGAATATATAATTTCTTCTATTCTAAAATGTAAACATTTTCAAGTTCTTTCTCAACTATACAAAATTCAATTTGTTTATCGTTTTTTTTTTGTCAAACAAATAACAGTATATTCTTTGTTCAATTATAATTATTGAGGTTGTTGAAATCATAAACCAATCTAAATTAGATAACCATTGAAAATTTGGAAGTATTAGACCCTTGATAAGATAGTGATTTAATATTGTTAGATAATTTTATACTACAATAAAAACAATTTATTAATGCATAATCAAGTTTTTCAGAATTATCTTATTAGATTAGTTCATAATCTTTATAAATAAGTTTTCAATTATTAAATGAAGATCAAAGTATAATTTCTATAGGTTATTCCATATATATATTTTATACAAATTGACGAATTAATAAGAACATATTGGTTGATTACAAGGCAAACATACATCATCATATACCAAACAATTTGTCCTGAATTTCATATATACAGTAAACAAAACTATATTGTGAATGCATTATTATTATTATTTTTTTTTCTAAATATTTTAATGAATACAAAATTAAATTATAATAATCAGTGAAATAATGAAAAATCTAAGAAAAGAAAGAAAGAGAGAAAGAAAGAAAAAACACACACAACACAACTGTTTATGCAAATGATTCAATGTGAGTGACGTGAATCGGTATGGAAAAAAAAAGGAAATAAATAAATAACCATTATCCTTTCTTTTTTTTTGTATTTTTAAATGAAATCAATCGTATACTATTTTGATTGATAAATTAAATAAAGATTATCCTTATTTTCAATGAATGATAATAACTTATCCAATGTAAAATGACCATAATAAACAAATATATAAATATATATATATATATATATATATATATATATATATATATATATATATATACTTGTTTATATATATCATTATCATTGATAAACATCCTTTAGGGATAGGCTTTTTTTTTCTGTTGAATATTCACAAATTAAATAAATCTATTAACAACTAATTCATTGATGTATTAACTCCTATTAATTTACTGTCATTAATTTATTCATATCACATTGAGTTAAATTGTAATTAACATGATTCAAGTAATATATTTTATAATGATGAATAGAAAAAAAAAGTGTTTGGAAAAGTGATTATAATAGTTGAAATACAATGAAACATATCAAATTTATATTGTCAATACAAAAGTGTATCATTTATGATAATAATAATAATAATAATAATAATAATAATAATAATGGGTTATATAATGTAATTAAATCAATAAGGAAACAAAAAGCCGAATCATAATAAATTAATAGAATTAAAAAAAAAAGCAAGTTAGTTAATAGTTATCATTTTCTAAATTGAAATTGTAATAAATATTGAAGTGAATTAAATAATAAATAAAAAGTATATTCCGAGTTAATTAATTTGAATTTTTATTTTAACTAATAAGTTTATATTATTTAAAATAGCCTTTCTCTTAGGTGCAGAGTTCGAATCCCGTGGAGTACAGGATTGTGGATGCGCACTGTTGAAAAATCCTATAATAGGATGAAACGGTCGTACAGTGCTTCCATGTTTTCTATGTTAGTCTAGCTTCAATGGACTCATGATTTCAATCAGTGAAATTTCTAAAAAAAATCTCCACAAAACCCAATCTGATAATAATCAACTGCTTACTAATGACTGACTTCAGGAGATACTCCTGGAGTTCTAGTGAGAAGCCATTACCAGTGGAGTTGTGAGATATCAGCTCACTAAAGACAATGGTGTACGGTGGCGCAACTTCGTTATTTAATTAATTATCATAAAAATATTTCATTAGTTTTTATTGTAATTATATACTTGTTAAAAATATATACATATTTATAAATGAAATTGTATTATATTAAATATGAATTGTTATTAAGTTCACTTGGTATTATTCGGCTTGTATCTTCCCATTGAGATTTAAGACTGCAATTGATCAGTCTGTTATTGGCATATGTGCATGCTGTGCGTATTACCTCCATATTGCCTTAATTCACAAGCTTTTTGTAAGCAATAATGGATAGTGGCTAGCAGCGGAATATAGGACGCGCGTTCCGTCCTATTTGGGACTCGTCAGCTGGATGTACCTGCATCTCAGACAATTGATGTTCACTCTGGGACTCAAACTTAGTACCATGTGCTTCAAACGCCATCGCCTCATCCACTTAGCTACTGAGTCCTGATAGCCACTTGTTTGTACAATGAGGTGAATTTCAATTCGCTTGGTATTATTTGGCTTGTATCTTCCGATTGAAGTTTAAGACTGCGATTGATCAGTCTGTTATTGGCATATGTGCATACTGCGTGTATGCCTCGATATTGCCTTAATTCACAAGCTTCTGTAAGCAAGGATTCGCTCTGAGACTCGGGTCCCTAGAGTGAGCATCAACTATGAGATGCAGGTACATCCAACTGACGAGTCCCAAATAGGACGAAACGCGCGTCAAACTGTATTCCGCTGCTAGACACTATCCGTCATTGAATTGTTATTAATTACAATGTATATATTCTTGTATTTTTATATTAACAAAACTCAATGTATAGTAATTATATTCGTTATGTATTTGTGATTGAACAGTTTAAATTTGATCTAATTATTTTATCAGTCAACTAGTTCATATAATTAAATTGAGCTACAGATACTAGAATAAATCATTCATGGTAACTTTCATTTATATATAAATATTCTAAATGAAATAGTGAGAAATGATCAAAATAAAATATGATTAGCAAATATTTTAAGTTTTATGATCTAAAAAGCTAAATTTCAATGAGAATTATAGGCTATTTTCCTAAATTTTTCTATTTAACTATGGAAAACAGTTGTTTATGAGTAAGTATTTATACTTTTGGGTGTCGGTATTTGTTGCTGATAAACAATTGTAGTAAGTCAACATAAATGAGATTGTGTGTTAGTAGAAATTGACTAAAAATTCTGTTCAGCTTTCTCTGTTTGTTTGAGGCTTTAAAATAATTATTTCATCAGCACACTAGTTTTACGATATACTCATTCAATTTACCCCATAACAGTAGCTGTACCCTATGGATTTCATTACATCTTGTAATTCTGTTGAGGTAAGACAAGTCGGTTCACGTTTTGAAAAGCAATAAAACACCTACATGGAAAAACTTACATTTACATTGGACATTTAAGATACAATTCAAAAACAGGCGATCTTTAGAGACGGTTTGTGATGTAAATTAACTTACCCATCATAAAAATAAAGTTAGGATGTAAAAGTTTATGGTTGGTAAGCAAGGTATACTTTACTTAGAATAAACATTTGGGTCGCAAACATTTCCGCTTACACTTCTGATTTTATTTATGTCCCTATGTTGTGAATGCTATCAAAGCTATTGCCTTCTCTTTGCCATCTGTAAAAACAATGACAAGAAAGTCGAGTACTATCCTGACTATAAGCTAAGACGTCAAATGTTCAGTGAAATTTCATAGGTGTAGCATACAATCACCGACAAAAAACACTACGCATCAATATTTGAAAATAATTCACAATGAATTCCTTCTATTCATAACCTGAACAGAAGTCGACAGTGAGCGTGTACCAACAGATGTGTAGTTCAGACTTATTTCTGACCTTATTTATTTCAGATAGTTTTGATAATCTCACTGAGGCTTAGGTCCCACTGACCAGCAAAACGTTACAAGCATTTAACTTCAACTCCAGAGATTCTATAAATATCTAATAGCTATAATCTATTTGTCATTGGTATGTTTAACATTAACTATGAAGTAAGGGTTGTAGAGAATGCATGGTACACAACTTGTATATTCAAAAGCACCTGTACAGTTTGATATACTGTGTTGAGACTAAACTGATAAATGTTTATTTTTTGTCATAAAATTGCTCTTGATAATTAAAAATATATGAGTTTAAATTGCAAAATGTCCTTTATTAGACAATTGTTGAAAACCTGGAAGTATTGAACAGCCATGCCGTTCTAATATGTGTCTATTATAAGTATATGCAAATATAAATAGTAAACAGAACTTAGATCTCAGAGACCGAATTGTTAATGAGCACTAATGAAGAGTCCCATATTAGGACAAAACGGCCATCCATTTCTTCCGGATTTTCAAATAATGATTTGACAATGAAAGGTCTGTGATTCAAATTATAAAAATTCAAAACGTACTCAAAAGGATTGGAAAAACTGCTAAACTCTTGATTTTATTAAAATCATAATGTAAACAACAGTTTCGGCTTAAAATTAAGAAATATATAAAAATAATCTAACACACGAAACTTAATTTACCCCATTCCCTACCAAGCATCAGTTTTAAAAGAAGTAAATTATTTGAAATAATTTTATATCAAAATCAACAACACCAAAATGATGTGTAATGATGAATGAGTTTGATGAGATGATTTAATTCTCCATGTGGTGCAAAGCATAGAAAGCTCCTTTCTTAGCGAGCAGTGCTGCTGGAGGTCCTGACTCTATCTTTCGTTCATCCCGTAAAACTACTACCAAATCAGCATTGACGACTGTGGACAGGCGATGAGCAACAACTAATGATGTTCTCGACCCCATAGCAGCATCAAGGGCTTCTTGAACTATCCGCTCACTCTCATTGTCCAAAGCTGAAGTAGCTTCGTCCAACAGAAGTAGAACAGGTTTACGAACTAAAGCTCGTGCAATGGCTATCCTCTGTTTCTGTCCTCCAGATAACTTTGATCCACGTTGTCCGACTTTGGTTTCATATTGCTTAAAAAACAGTGGAAGTTATAAACAGTTATTTAATAATATTTGAAAATATTCGTAACAATTCGAATAACATAAAAGCTGACAATACAATGAAAATATAAACCTGAAGCGTAATTTTTAGTGAGTTTAACAAACCGAATATTTTCACTCACTTCTGGAAGTGTTGTAATAAAATCATGGATGTTAGCTGCACGTGCTGCCTCAATAATCTCTTCCATCGTCACTTCTCGACTATTGTCTCCATACGCAATATTCTCTCTTATCGTGAGATCGAATAAAGTGGGTTCTTGTGAAACAAGACCAATCTGTTTTCTAACCCAACTAGGTGCAATATCCCTAATATTTATATCATCGAAAAACACACCACTATCGGGACCGTGATATGATGGATCGTAGAATCTCAATACTAACTGAAGTAGTGTTGATTTTCCACACCCAGAAGGTCCAACTAATGCGACTGTTTGACCAGGCTCAATAGTGTGTGAAAAGTTCTGAAAAATGGAGAAAATTTTCAAAAACTCATTACGTAAGTAAACGACAAGTATATTACAAATAGCTATTAGAAAACAGGATCATATAATCTTGAAAATCCAAAATTGGTTGTCTTAAGTATATAAAGATCTAATCAATAATCTGATCAGTGCTTACAATGAGACGCTTTTTAACGTAAACCCTTCGAATCATTTCGTTATTTATACCAATATCTAATATTGACATTTGATATAATTATCCTCTCAAATACAGTGTTCTGTGGTGGTGGTGGTGGTGTTTTTCAAACTGTCAAAAATTACTATCTCTCTGAATAAAGCATATTGTTTGGTGCAAAGTGTAGTAATGTCAAGTACAATAATAGTTGTATTTTATTACTGGAATTTTCATCACATACCATTCGAATCGGTGGTTTATTCGCTTAAGAAAGCTTTTAAAATTAATAATTAAACCTATTGTGAATATTAATTCAGTCTTCATGCAGAGTAATTATGTTAACATATAAAGATTTCTATAATATTGCCTTTAAGTGATTTGCTATTTAACTCTATTGTAGTGTGAATAAATTAATTCGTTTGCATTCAGTATGGTTGTATTTGCAAGACATATCTTTTTAGTAGATTGAGATTTTCATTTAACAAAAACTACGAATTTATCTTATTCCTATCTCTTTTGTTTATATGATGATCTAGTTTGAACTAAACATGTTCAGAACCTCTGAACAGTGATTAGAACAAATTCAACTTGAACGAAAATAAATTTCTGTAACACTGTATTATTGTTCCTCACTTACTACATTAACTTACCTTAAGAACCCGTCTCTCAGTTTGAGAAAAATATTTGAAATCAACGTTCTTGAACGAAATTTTCCCTTTGAATTTTTCACGTGGTACACTCCCTATATTAGTTGAAATAAGAGGTTTCCTGTCTAGAATTTCAAGAATACATTTCGCAGCTGAACCTGCTGCTTTAGTACCCAAAACTAGTGTAGCTGTACGGCCAAGAGATTGAGCACTCAAATGGATAGTTACGAAAACCCTTTTAATTGAAATGTCATAATATAATATAATCAAAGTGATTGCATCGAGTTTCTGAGACAAATGCTTGATAAAATATTTATGGAATTTAACAAGGAAAACGTCTGAAAACTATGACACATTTTCACTGATATTTACCATAATTAGGTAATTGCCAAGTGATTGGAATATTCTAATCCGATTACGGTATTAAAATATACATTTTTAAAACACTACCCAGGATTTTGGGTGGTAAGGCAGTAGAACAGGAATTGTGTGCGATCATAAATAAAATACAAAACATTTCAGTTAGTTTTTTTTTTTGTATACCACCCTAATGATTGTTTAGTGATGCTATTTATACTTCATCCTTGTATCGTAGTATAATTTCAACGTTTCTCTATGGTATTCTAAACCTGGAGAAATGAAAAGTTACCTTAAGGTTAATAAAATTAATGTCACATTTTCTAAAAATATCTTTAAATGAAGCTATGTATGTTTGGTTATCCAACTTGGTGTTCAGATTTAGTTCAGTGTAGTTTTCTGTAAACCACACATACTACATGAATGCTAGTGATATTATCGCAGTAGGTAGTGTACTGGTCAATAATTAAACATCGTGATGGAAATTATTATGATTAAACCTCTTAATTGGAGCTTTTAGTATTCAAACTAAAAGCAACCTCTGATGTACTCTTCTATATATTTACTCAGAATCATTACCAGTGACGGTTCTTTGATTTACACACACATGTGAAATTTAGGCCTGTTAATATCCGTCCAATATAATATTAGCATATTGTTTATAAATCTTATCATATGTATTAAACAGTTTATCATTTCATAGTAGACTATTTTAGTAATTATAACTCATTTTAATTTTTTCACAAAAGATGCATCCAAAAGATTTTGTTTCTAACATTTTTTTAAAGAGTAACTATTCGATAAAGTATTCATTTTGATTTCATAACAGAAAAACATTGTAGAAACCTACAAAATTCCTGATCACATTTGGTTCTGGCTTTAAAATGTCACAATTCACAGGCATGATATTTCATAGTTTGTGGTGTTTGGTTCTATGTAAAAACCATATGGGTTATTCTAGCTACAGACTGACTTATCCACTCTTTTCAAGTCATATTTGGACATTGTTAATTATTCGCTCATCAATCTTGACTATTTTCATACGAGCGCATATGTGTTAATTGCTCACCCTATTCATTATGTGTCTGTAACTTTTTGTCTGACTACAAATATCGAGTCACGCTTTATTAAAATAAGTTGGCCCACTCGCTATCTCCGCTCCGCTTTGCTTCAATTTCCCGCTTTTTAATCTGAATGTCCGCCTGGATAAACGAATGCTTGAAATGAATTCTTTCAACGCAAACCGTGTTTGGCTTCTTATTACCATCGTCAAACAAATCAGAATGAGATCAACAGACTACAAACAATGTTTAGAAGCTTGCAAATCGAAAATTTCAGAACAACAAAGATTCATTAGAAGGACAAGTGTTCAAATGGTGGGATTTCCCTTATCCATTAAAACTACTTCTATTCACTAGTGATTTATGATGTTCCTTTAACATTTGCATTACTTCGCAACCTTTCTGACATACTGAAAACTTAAAAATACGTTGTGATCTGATCTCTTTCTTTTGATTATCAGCAAATAACCACAAATATAATTCGGTAAATAGTATAGTCGGAAAGAAATATTTTCAGACGAATTTTCGTCGTCTCTTCAGTGGTATAATGGGGTCACTTTCGTTGCTTGAAAATTAATTAAACGAATCTTTAGCTGAGTAGTAGCTTAAAAGTTGTTGAGTGATTCGTAGAAGTTGTAATACTTTGTCGATGAAGTTTCTAATACGTCTAATAATTTATGTGGATTAGTACTCTGGTCTAGTCTACCAGATCTCAAACATTTTAAGGTAATAAAATAATATCGCAGACTGGTACACGTAGACAATTGAGAGAACTTGGTCTCTTTTAAAAATGAGTCTGCAATGAACCTAAATAAGTCTGTTATAATGCCTTTCAATTGGGCGTTAACTTATTCCTGGCTTCAGGATACCATTAGCGAAGTAGATTAACAACCAATAAACTGAAGTTAAGGAGTTCATGCCTCTTAGTTATTTTTCTTTATTTTAAATGAATGTGAATCATGAAGTACACAGATATTAAAGGAATAACCCATAATCTTCTAACTCCTTTTCGCAAAGTGAATACTTGGCTAAAAAAAGCGGACCAACGTTTGGAGTTAGAGTTGGTATTTAAGCATGTATACAAATTTCAGTGAATTAGTGAGCAAGTAGTCTCATAAACTAGAATAAGGACCAATATTCATCAAGTGTTATGTATTAGGATAACTCATAGCTCAAGTCTCATTTTTCATTCATTCAGTTGAATGAATAGCATACTTTCGTGATTTCGTTGAAACTCACAATGACAAGATAATTTATGTGATAACTGAATAGTGGGATACTTTGGGCTTCCTTCGTGCACTGCTGAATTATAGTGTAAAAATCAACAAAACATGAAATAATTACATTCAATACTCTAATATCCATAAAGGTAACTGATCTGAATTGAAGATGACACAATTTACCTGAACACTGCTAAAACCGTTATTGCTTTTGTTGAAACCAAGTGTGCACCGAGTGAATACGCAGCAGCTACTGCGAACAACAATACACTTTCTGCAATAGCGTACATAATAGCATTTAAAAATATCGTTTTCAAGTTATTTCTTAGGAAAAAAACAGAAAAAGATTTATACATGAAATCTTCACTTGAGGTTATCAATCAGATTTCGGCAAGATGTAAATCCTTACAGATAAATTATGCTTTATTCCCGCCGAAGTAGTCCGAATTCATTTGAACTCAGTAGTTCAGTAGGAAATGAGTTTGAGTCAAGTACTAATTCTCGAAAATGTACACAAGTAAATACAACTACCTAGTCTCAAATAGAAATAAACACATGTCCCTTTATCCACTGATAGCTAATATCCACCTCTTCTATATGTTTATGTAAATTTTTGTTTACGATACTTAGTAATCAGTATAGAATAACTACTCTCACACTATGTATAAATATCCTCCACCTGAACATAATATGACTTCATTTTAAGTAAATAAGACACTATAACAAAGCAACAAAGTCATTACAAAAGTGGTTGAATATTTGTTGAAAATCATAGTGAAATGTTTACATTTTTTGGAAACTTGTTTGAAAATAAGTTGTCCTGAGCAAAATAAGTTATTATTGTTTTTTTCATTAAGTACTCAATCTTAGAATACATCATGAACTTCAGACAAACTGAAAGAATAATAACACTGAATCAAATGAATATTCACGGGTATAATTGTTATTTCACAGATTGAAATCATGATTCAGTTGAAGCTCGACCACCATTGAAAGCCTGGAAGCACTGGACGGCCGTTTCGTCCTAGTATGGGACTCCTCAGCAGTGCGCATCCACGATCCCGCACCACGCGGGGCTCGAACCCAGGACCTACTGGCTTCGCGCGCGAGCACTTAACCACTAGACCACTGAGCCGGCATCCAACGGTGTTAATGTCTAACTTCAACCAATCCACGAAGTTGCGCCACCGTACACCATTGTCTTCAGTGAGTTCCTATCTCACAATAGACCTGGTTGAACTCCACTGGTAACGGCTTCTCACTAGAACTTCGGGAGTTTTTCCTGAAGTCAGTCACTAGTGAGCAGTTGATTATTATCAGAATGGGTTTTGTGGAGACTTTAGAAATTTAGCAGATTGAAATCATAAGTCAGTATTGTTCATGGTAATAAAATTGGTGTATTTCAAAGCATCCACATGACATTTCGTACTCTAAAGAAACTTGCACAATAATGGATATCATTAATGCAAATAATTTCATCCAACAATATACTCAGTAGGCTAGGACAGTTTTACATAACCTGTATAATGTTTGTTTTTATTTTCTTGTAATAAAATTGATGTAGTAAGGCATTTAAAAAAGGATTCTATCAAACTCAACTTAGAAACCCTTCAATCTACAAAATTGTAGTGGGAAAACGATTGAAACTAGTTATTTTAGACTCGTAAAGTTATCAGTGTTAATCAGTTTGTCACGTCTTTGTTCCAGAAAATGAGTAACGTAGTAATTTTTAGAAAAATTAGAATGTTAATTTACTAGACAAAGTACAATGAATTGTAAGCGATTAGATAAATGTAAAATTACACATTGAAATTCACTGATCCGCACATTGATCGTACGCATGATTCGATGAATTCGGTTTTGCTGGAAAGATGTAAGTTTGATAAGGAAAAGCTATATTTTCCTTCTTTCCGGATGCAAACGCCAACAATAAATTTTTTAATAATCCCAATATAAGTCACGAGTATTTTTTTCAAAACTCACTTCAGATTTTCAACTGCATGAGATTCAAAACGTTTAAAGAAGTAATCTTCTAATGTAAATGCAGTAACTGTGTAGCTTGAGCCAGTCACCTCTTGAGCAATTCTCATTGCTTCATTAGCATTCTGAATATTACTACTTCCTGAAAGTGTTCGCATCTGGATAAGATGGTGAAATAAATGAATTTGTATAATTATTTCAAACTTCCATCAAGTCATATCCATACTAAAAGGACAAGTGCTGACTAATTGTATATGACTTCAGCCATTTAGTTTGGTCAAGAGTTGTCAGGATTAAGGCATTTTATGTGCCAAACAAAACGCAAATTTAGGTTGGTACTTGTACGCTCAATGGATGTAGCAAGGTATCACAAACTCTCAACTTAAATGTTTTCTGTGATGTGAACATATACTCGGTTACCATTAAGAATGAGCATCATTGGTTGAATCTGTCACAAATATTGACGATTTGTTTTTCATATTACGCCTCTGAATATATGGTACGTATGATAACTGGCACGTATAAAGAACATTCTACAAATTATATTTAACTATCTATGATGATAAAACCAGGTGTTATATCATCGGTACATTCTCAGTTGAACGTCTGTTTTAACAAAGATAATGAGTGATACAGAATCCACACTTTGTAGAACCGATCAACTTATAGGCCAATAATCAGTAAAGGATTCAGAACATGCGATGTCAATTTTTAGCATTCACCTCACTTACAACACATGAAATAATGCTTGTGTAAAATTGTAGATTCATGGAATATAAATTGATCCCACTTATTCAAAATGTGTTGCTTTAATTCTAGAAGTTTTAATCAAACTATATAAATATATTTGTCGCTACTTAATCAAACATATAATTGTAACGAAGTTTAGTCAGCTTCTCTACCAACCATGAACTAATCTCAACATTCTAGTAAACATCAATGGAAACCCCCATTACACATATCTTTCAAAACCTTTAAAATACTTGTCAAATGAAACGAATTACCTGGAAAAATCCTCCAATGACAATAAGTGGATAGAAGGCTAATATTAGGAGAGTCAGTTGCCAACTGTAGATAAACGAAACCACAAAAGACATAGCTATCAATGCTACAGCTTCTATGATGAAACCCAATTGTGAACCTGAAATCATTGTCACTTTCATAGCATCATTGGCCAGTTTTGCAGTTAATGCTCCTGCTTGGTTCTCTGGTTTATCAAACCATCCTATTTCCTAAATAAAATACGTTAGAGTAAGTGGAATCATTAATTTCTAACTATTTTATTTGAATAAATTAAAATATAAGTAATTATGTGAAATGAGAAAATCACCTCTAACTTACTTGATTTAGCATGCTCTCAAAAACTTTTGATCGTAGGCGACTAACTAATATACCGCCTGATTTTCCAAAAAGTAAACTCTAAATAAATTCAAAAAAATATGTGCATATAAAGTTAATTTTATTTACTTATTAAAAAAATGAGTTTATTAACAATCACTCCAACAATTAGTTAACTCTGATTTGGCTACTGTGAAGTATAAATTTGTTTCTAATTTCATACTATGACTAAAAACCATTATACCAATAAGATCAATTCAGTCAAGACAAATCTTGTTTTAGAATTTATATACAGGGTAACATGTCCAATTTCAAAGGAAATAAATTTCCTCAATGTAATAAAAAGCTGTGATGTTGACAGTCAACATTCTGGAAACATAATTGCTAGTGATCTGATCCAAAAGCTTTAACATAACTTTGGTGTAGATGCAAATTACTATAAAAAGAAAGTTATCTTCAGTAACTTTAGTTCAATCTTGTAAAAATCCAAAACAGTTGTACTGAATAACATCCAGCGTGAGAGGATACAATTATGGAATTACTTTAACAAATTTGAAGAAATGAACATGGTTCCCTTACTTTTCTGAAAATTATTTAGTCTTACATATATGAAACATTAATGAATATGGTAATGCTAAATAAGTAGATGAGAAGTATAAATATTAGTCGACCTGTCTATATACTCATCAGTTGGTTTAAATTCCACTTGAAAGAACGGGTAAGTTACATGAATTCAAAGGAATTTGTAACGCGATTTAACAAATTACTGTTACATTAAACTGAAATGCGAGGTACGTACAAGCAGTTTTACAAAATTATACTTAGATTCCAAATCAGCTTAAAAAGCATTAGATCTAATCAAACCAGAGGTAGTCAAACCGAAAATATTGACGTTAGTAATCAGAAATATGTTAAGTCACTAAACAAAACATTGATGCAAAATGGCTATCCCCTTAAACTCGTTAACAGATAGAAAGTTCATGGTACAGCCTTGGCAGAAAAAATACCTGTCTACATCACCTTACCACTTATAGATGATTCAAATAGCCTTTTATTGAAAAAAGGCTTAAACCAGTCATTAACAACACGTATTATGCAGAAAAAGTCATTATCAAGGAAACAACAAGGTTCATGCTTCATCAAAAACCTAAAAGGCAAGAAAACGATTGCGCTACATACACAGTGTTTACCATTTTAAATGTGTGGTCACATACATAGGGAGGAGTAATCGTGATCTCAAAATTAGGGTGTGTGAGCATGTACTGAAATGGTTACAGAAACAAATAGAATCGAATGACCCAATAAGAGTAGAGAATAAAAATCCATCATCCTCTATTGCCAAACGCATAATTGGAACAGGTTATAAGATTGATCTTAACTCGACTTTTGTGGTGTTGTACAAAAGTGTAAAAGGGCATATTACTTACTTACTTACACCTGTTACTCCCAATGGAGCATAGGCCGCTGACCCGCATCCTACAACCCACTCTGTCCTGGGCCTTCTTTTCTAGTCCCATCCAATTCTTGTTCATTTTTCCCATGACTGTCTTCATTTTTCGACGTAGTGTGTTCTTTGATCTTCGTCTTCTCTTCCTTTGGCCTTGAGGATTCCATGTGAGGGCTTGTCTTGTGACGCAGTTGAGTGCTTTCCTCAATGTAGGTCCTATCCACTTCCAGTGCTTCTTCCTGATTTCTTCCTCCGCTCGAATCTGGTTTGTTCGCTCCCACAGTACGTTGTTGTTGGTAGTGTCTGCCCAACGGATCTGAAGTATTTTGCGTAGACAACTGTTAATGAACACCTGTATTTTCTGGATGATGGTTTTCGCAGTTCTCCAGGTTTCCGCCCCATACAGTAGAACTGTCTTGACATTTGTATTGAAAATCCTGACCTTGGTGTCGGTTGACAAATGCTTTGAGTTCCAGATGTTTTCCAGTTGTAAATATGCTGCTCTTGCTTTTCCGATCCGCGCCTTCACATCTGCATCAGATCCACCATGTTCATCAATGATGCAGCTCAGATATGTAAAGGTTTTTAAATCTTCCAATCTTTTCCATCAATTGTGATTGGATTGGTGCATGCTGTGTTGTATCGGAGAATCCTGCTTTTCCCTTTGTATATATTGAGACCTAATGCTGTTGAGGCTGCTGCCACACTGTTCATCTTCTCCTGCATTTGTTGTTGCGTTTGCCAGATCATTTGCGAAGTCTAGATCGTCCAGCTGCATCTTAGATGTCCATTGTATCCCGTGCTTCCCTTCAGATGTTGATGTCTTCATGATCCAGTCGATCACCAGGATAAAGAGAAAGGGTGAGAGTAAGCAACTTTGCCTAACACCGGTCTTCACTTTGAACGACTTTGTCAACCGTCCTCCATGCACGATTTTGCAGTGTAATCCATCATATGAACTCTGTATGATATTGACTATCTTCTGAGGCACACCGTAGTATCGAAGGAGCTTCCATAGTGTTGTTCTGTCCACGCTATCAAATGCCTTTTCGTAGTCAATGAAGTTGATGTAGAGTGATCAATTCCAATCAATTGATTGTTCCACAATGATCCGTAGAGTTGCGATTTGGTCTGTACACGATCTATCCTTACGGAATCCTGCCTGTTGGTCACGAAGTTGGGCGTCAGGGAAGACCTTCATCCTGTTTAACAATACCCTGTTGAACACTTCTCCTTGTATTGAGAGAAGAGTGATGCTGCTGTAGTTATCACACTTGCTGAGATCACCCTTCTTCGGTATTTTGATCAGGAGTCCTTCTTTCCAGTCTGTTGGTACTTGTTCCTCATCCCAAATCTTATTGAAAAGAATGTGGAGTATCCTTGCAGTTACCGCCTGGAGTCCCTTCGGGGGCTGCTCTTGGTCCCAAGCCCGGATAAAGAAGGAGGGTTGGGCATGGGGTTAGGGTCCCCATCCCGAAGAAAACTAACTCGCTAAAAAAACGCTAAGCAGAAAGAATTATTCAAACCAAAAGGGCATATTACTAAGGTTTATTGAAGCCTTAGCCATACGAAAATTCAAACCCCCTCTGTGTATTCAAAAACAGTTTGCTCTCACTTTAAACCTACCCTCGTAATATTAGCTTATTATCCAGAGTGATGAGGTTTCAAACTGTTTTCACATAATTTGTTTAATATATCTTTGTCTCCTCTTAACCTCGATTTCTAGTCTAGTTGACTTTTTATTTTTATATATAAATGTTCATAACAAGTATATATGTGGTCAGATTGTTCGAAATGTATTGCGCTAATATATCACATAGTTCTGATAATCTTGAATATCGTTAAACGAACGGCGGTTTTTGTATTTTTTTCATCCCTTTTGAAAATTTTTTCGTCGTCTTCTTATTACACTATAGAAATGTATACTCCAATTGAACAATAGAGTTTTAGTAATACGAATAATCAGTGTTTCATTATTTGAGTAAATAGACACCATTTCAAAATGATCTTGTCTATTGTGTATCAAAAAAGCAACATTATATTAAAGATGCCATCTTTGCAGAACTAACCATCTAAAGGTAAGTGACCATTGAACTATTTATTACGAAAAAAAACATTATTTTAATTAGATTTCTATGACTGCTAAATTCAGAGAATAAATGGGATGAATGCGGACACAGACATTCAACATACAAAATAATATCTACGTCAATTTATGTTATTTAACATACATAAAAAAATGAAATGTTCGTCACACAATAAACTACGAATACAAAAACTTGAGTTTTTAATACTACCTGACTGACATTAGCTACAAAACGTAGAATTCCAATCACCACCATCATCCCACATACAACAGTGAGTCGACTAAACAGCAGATCTGGATTAGATCGCAAAGGAAAAATCTAAAATGGGTAATTTCACAAGTGTTACTGTTACACAATGCAACTGGTAGACAATTCTCCAGAAAAGCAATATTATATGTGTATGGCAAAAAGTGTACATTTTTCTTGGTAAATTTGTATTTGCTAAATTAATCGCAACTATTAATTACTCTGAAAATGACTTGTACTGCAACTGTGCTTCCATTCCATGAATATTGTCCGCTTTTTGTTACATAAGTTTTACATTAGATCACCTTCATCTACGCCCAGTAAGCAATTATATCCAGATGCGTTACTCGTATGTCTTAATGAGTTACTACAGTCGAGGAACATCACATTTATCCGAAAACGTATATTTTATGACAATTCGATACGAGATTTCTGTTGATTTCTTTAGGTCGAGTCATATTTTCGAAAGAATTAACGAAGAATTTAGATCCAAATATTATTTTATTAATCACTGCATTTGTTTCTATAATAATGTGTCACCTACTACCGATTTCGTTAATTGCATTTCATGCAACCAAATTATAATCCTTTTTCAATAAGTACTTAACGATTCTCCTAGAAATCGTCCTGATTAGATTCTTCAGTTAAAAATTACAAAGCTGAATGATTTTATTTGCATATTCATGAGGAAGAAAATTGGTTGAAATTGCATTTTCCGTCCCGTTAAAACGGAAACAACTGGTGGAATGTTAAAGAAAATCCGTTTAGAATAATAAGTTCATAAGACTCTCCAGCTCGATGCTTATCAACAGAAAGAATAATTACTTTGTTATTATCAGCTTGCAATAAAGACGTTTTCACTCTTGACACTAGTGTTGAAGACCCTTCTCTTCTCAAACAAATACTAACTGGAAACGTGTCTTTACCAGCATTTGTCGGTATAAACATAGTTAAAATCTTTTAAAATTTATTTCGCCATTTTGAGCAATCCACTTCCAGTTTCCATGGCATTTTTAATTTATTCGTTTGCGTCAACCTTTAAATACGAATAACAAATTTGAACTTTCTGGTTTTTTTGACTAATTATTGTGTCGAGAATGCACACATATATGTGACGTCACAATATGAAACAGACAATATCAAATAAAGCTCATTGAACATTTAATCTCATTCAACAATTATGTTCATTGACTAATTCATACAACATCAGATTCATCCATTTCTACAACCTAATCAATCCCTTAAGCCAGAAATGCGTATGTATATAAAATTAGATTATTATGAGATAAACGGTTTATGATGTCACTTTTATGAAATATCAATCACATATTCCATCATTACAACTAATAACAACCGAAATGAGTTAGAGCTGGAATAAAAATTTATTAATCATTTGGTTTTACCAGAACAAATAATAATCAAACAGTGAATTATAAGCGTACTTACACTATACATTTCAGTATACAGAATCGCAAAAGCTGGTTGAGTGGTCCCACTAATCACACAGCAAATACATCCTAAAACTATCAGATGTAGTTCAGGTCTATTAAGTTTTAAAACCCTTAATGTCGGAGAAAGCTTGATATTTTTTCTCTGAAAAAAGAAAAGTTGAAGTGAATTATGCATTAGTTATGCTTCATGACGTACAACTCATTTGTTGACAAACTGGTTACCCAATAGCTCAGAGACAAAAAATAATTGATTAAGTATATTTGCTTCAGTGTGTTATACTGAAATCAATGAAAAATCATTACCCATAACCACATCAAAATTCTGTTAACTTAAATTTTAACATCGTAATTGATAGAAATCTTTAAAGATGGCTTATATTATACGGGAACGGATACGAAGGGTAAAGTATAAAGTCTATTTTCCTTGAGGTATATGTGTTCTAACTCCAGCTGAAGCTCTTCTAAGGTTACCACAGATCTCAAGATTGTATATAAAAGAGTTAGGATTAGGGTTTTTAAATCCATTTCCCAGAAAAGAAACACACTAGGAAAATGGTCATCAAAGATAATAAGTGTCCATATTTAAACCTTGTTCTAGTAGTTCAAGGGTCTTCATATAGAAGGGTGATAACGCCTCACGGTGATAACCACGAATCCTTGAAAGCCACGAGGCCAATGTCTGTTCTGACAACTAGGGCAACAAATAATCTAGGGACGTGGAGTGTCCGAACAATATACGAGAACTAGAAGATCAAATAGCTTTGCAAACGATAAGGTACATCCTGACTTTGATTAGGACAAGTGGAACTCATTGAACACATTCTGAACAGAAAAGACATATCTCATGAGAGATGTTGAATTCTAATCATCCAGAATAAAATGTATAACATATACAAAAATTGCGCTGATACCGTTTAGAGATTTACAAAAAGCGCTTATATTACGAAAAACCATGTTTTCACGATAACCAACACATTCTTCGAATAAAAGAAGGAAAGGACTACAACAAACATCATATAGTGTTATGTACCCAGAAACGATATTAGTAAAGATGACAAACAACAGTCTTGTGAGATGTAGTACACTCTATAGAAATGCTCAGGAAAGTCCCTGACTATCCTGACAAGGATGATGACCGCTTGGCATGGACGAATCATAGAACAACATGGAGTGAGGAGTGGAAACGAGAATGGTAAGAGGCTGTTAATTGTGTCTTTTTAACATGATTACGGGTTAAAAAATTCCTCCTCACAAATTCAAACGCAAAGCTACATCAGTTTCCTTTGATCACACCAAGGAAAAATAGATCGATCACATCTGCGCCAAAAAACATTCAGAAGGTTCATTGAGTATGTAAGAACAAATAAAAGATAAGGTATTACTTTAGATCACTTGATGGCAGCCAAGCTAATATCAAAGTAAGAGAAGATCTGGCAGTTGAACAAACAGAACTATGAAATTTTAGCACAATGCTGTTTCAAACCGTTAGAGAGCTTAGCAAGTTTCAGTCAACTGTCAGCTAACAGCTCCAAGCCTTACAAGGTCTAGCAAAAGAAAGGAAAACGACTATGGAGAACAACTGGGAATTGATTAATGAATTACTTAAACATGTCACATGTTGAGCTCTAAGAAGCTACATCATGAAAAATGAATTTCTATCGATAACCTAAGCAATAACCAACAACAGCAGAAGGAGAGCAGAGAAAGCCAAGGCATAGGCTGAATATACAGAAGCGAACAAACAAATGAAAAATATTATGAAAGCTGACAAGAGGAAATATGCTAAAGGCCTGGAGACGACAGCAAGAAATACGAGCAAACCATATGATACAGCGAAGACCCTAGAAGGAAAACAGTAACCTGGAGTGACCGGTCAAAATCAAGAAAGACAAACCGATTACTGGGGTTCATGAGCAGTGGGACAGGTGAATAGAGTGCTATGAAGAACACTTGAATAGACCGGCTCCAGTGAGTCCCGGAGAAATCACAGTAGCATACACGAGCGTCTCTGAAAACGATATCACAATAACAAGCGAAGAAAATAGCAAGAACATCATACAAATCAAGAGTGACAAAGTAGCAAGGGCAAACAGCATACCAACTAAGACACTAAATCAGGTATACAGGTGACTGCAAAGATGATCCATGTACTCTTCGGAAAGATTTGGGCGGAATAAGGCGTATCAGTAGACCGAAAAATGCAATACTTCATCAAAATGAAGAAATTAGATCCTAATAAATGTGAATAATACAGAAGGATCATACTGTTGTTCGTGCTCGGCAAAGTTCGCAACTAAGAGTTGCTGAAACGAACGAACGATTGAGTAGACCCTCATTCTCCATATCAACAAGTTATCTCTCATAAGGACAAATCATTGACCGACAGAATCATTACACTGTATACACTACTGAACAATCAAATGAATTGAACTCATCACCATATATCAACTTACTAGATTACAATAATCATTAGACTGAATGAAGAGGAGAACCTTATGAAGCCTTCTTTGACACTATGGAGTACCTTAAAAGATCGCCACCACCACACGCAACTCTTACGACGGATTGTAGTACAAAGTCATGCATAGGGCGTAGCTCAGGGGTACATTAAAAGTGAAGGCTGTTAGTTTATTGTCGCTTCCCTTTCCTCTGGTTATTGACTGGACTATGAAAACCTACAAATTCCGGGAAAGTACGGGACGCAGTGGATACCGTGAACGTAGTTGAATGACTTGAACTTTGCAAATGACTAAGCCTTTCTATGTCGCATAAAGCGTCAAATGTAGGCAAAAATAGTCAGTGCTACATTGGCTTCCACAACAGTAAAGCTCAGCATACACAATTGGAAAAGCAAGATCCTGAAGTAGAACATAGTGAGCACTAAACAAATCACATTTGATAATAAAGTTCTGGGAGAGATTGAATTCTTCACGTACCTAAGCAGTATCATCAGTAGATAAGAAGAATCCGATTAAGATATCAAAGCGTAAACTGACAGTACAAGGGTAACATTTCTACAACTAAATATCCATAATTCAGAACAACTGTACCCCAGCACTAACGTCAAAAGTTTTACTATACATAGATGAAACCTGAAGAGATAAAATCATTACCAAATTGTAAAAATATATGCAAACAGCTTCAGACTCAAAATACTTCAGATCCATTGCAGAGCTTGTCTGCAATAACTTTTGTGGCAGACAATAAACCTATCACCTGCCGAAGAAAAAATTATGAAAAATCTCCTGGGTAAATAGAATACACTTGGGGGGAAACGATTGAACTGCACCAAAAAGCAAGCCTCACACTACAATATACAAGGGAACAGGAAACGAGGTAGAACAAAGAAAACATAACGCCAGGGATGAAGACAGGCACGAAGTTGATGAATAGAACGTGGTAATATCTGGAAAGAAGAACATAGGGTAGAATTGGCTGGATACTTCTGGTCGCTTCATATGCCACTTGAGAGCAGTAGGCCTATGCGAATAGGTAATGTTTTCCCTTTACTGATTTTAGTAAAATTAGGATACTCTTTATTACCTTTCACTTTATGCAATGGGGATAAATTATAGCTGCTTGGAATTTGGGAATATATACAATACTTTGGTAAGTATATTTCCACAATTCAGATGTATCGTAGTCTTAAAATGACTGTGCGATTCCTACTTATGAAAGAAGTAGATATAATAATCAGGAGTATTCGAATTAATGTACTAAGAATTCCCGAAATAGTGCGATTCAAGTCAGGTAGAACTAGATTAGCACAAATGAACGTACTATATTTGGAATTCGTAATCAGCGCTCAATCAAGTACAAAGGAATCAACAATGAGTACAAATGCCACGATTGTCATTCAGAGAAGGATACATATAAGTTGACGTGGCAAGATTAAAGCTTGGGCAAACTAGCGTGGACTCAATTTATTTCAGTCAATTGGTTCCTTTGATGGTTTTTTTGCTACGTTCTCATCAGTGAATTATCAGCACTCGCATTTTCTAATCAGAATTACATAAAAGTTAGCATAATTATGCAAGTGAAATTCGTAAGAATTGAATATGTTCTGACTTCCTTCAAATCAAGAAAAGAACGATGCTCAAGTATATCGAGGTTTTATAGGTTCGTATACTTCTAACTAAAAAGTAGGTACTCCATGTCTATGAAAGATTTCGGAGAAAACTTTACAGAATAATGAAATTATTCCAAAACTACTCAATCGTGCACATTTGTATTTTATTTAACGGCTAATTCCGATTCCAAACATATAATTCGTTCAGTTGTCTTCATGGAGTTCTATCAGCTTTAAATTGAACCTTTCTGGGAATTCTTAGTTAGCGCATCAGTTCGATTACTTCTAATCATCATACTTAACTGACGATTCCCGTAACACATCTGCATGAATAAAATAATTTAAGTAATGGCAGAATTGTAATGAAACGACTATCGCCTGAAATAAAATGTGAACTGCAGATAGTTCAAAATACTAACTGAATAGCTAAACGTACATATCATTTAGTCATGCATCATTCTAATGGGCGTACTGAATATATTTCAGTATAGTTCCAAAACTTTCTTATTCTGATGTTCATGCGTAAAATGTCAAGACCTTGGAAACAATAATCATTCTTTTTACTGGTGTACAATTTAAGGGGTTGTAGAGGATAGTTTATGAAATCTTTCAGAACAGAAATCCCAAACCGCAGACAAAAGGAACAATAACAAAATTGCTTAAACAAAAAAAACTCGTTCGAATATATACTTTTCATCTCTCTGAGGTATACTACGCTATTACAATAATATGAAAATAAGACGGGTCTGTGTGACCGAGTTTATAATGCCACAACATTGGATACTTGGACGATCCGTTACACACAAAACAGAGACTAGATCACATATCAGATACAAAATTCACGACCAAGAACAGAAAACCAGAGTCACGATAGATAATACTTATTTCACACAGTTACAAGCCATCATTCTTAGTGTGTACCACATGGAAATCAATAAGTAGTAAAGAAATCACATAATTAATATCAGTGTGGGAACTCGTGGAGATTGCAATATTTAATAGTAAGTCGAGTGTCTGTTTGTCCACACTCAGTGACCAATCACATTTACTTCCAATACTACACATTGACATTACACTGAAACATCATAATAATTATCAATCTAAACTCGATTAAATATAAAACTTACTTGATTACGTAGAATCGAAATTGTTGAAATAAGGGAAAAATTCCCGTATGGAACATTTCCAGTGGTTTCAGATACACTCTACACAAACAAATGAAATAAATGACACGCACATGTGAAATCATTTGAACGTGTTATTCAAGAACATTGTGTTATTTTTGATTACTTATAACTATTATTCCATAAACCACTGTTATTCAGAGGTTTGCTCAATGTTTTACTACAGTGTTTGAAAATATTAGGTTTACATCAATTTCACCAAAGACTGACAAAAGTTACACAATCATTAAACACACACGTTTGTAATATTATGTCAAATTGTGGATGTACGTGGTCAAACAGCCGCAAATCGAGGAGAAACAAACAGTATCCCATATTTCATAAGAATATTTGAATTTACAACTACACTTTGTAACAATCTATCACTTCCTGTTTAGTAAGCGGAATCTTTAAACTATACATAAGTTCAAGCAATTTGTGAGAAAATCAATCTTAAAGTATATTCGCTAATGATGTTTCAATGTAATTTCAATGAAAACGAGAAATCGGTTTGAATTATATGTGAATCCTGAGAAACATTTTATGGCAGAACAAGCATATTAAAATTAATTTTTAAAACAAAGTTACTTACATCCTCACCATTATCCATTTTACAAATATCGTCTAATTTCGTCAACAAGTCTTTTCCACTGACGATATATTTATTTCGAGATCCTTCATCCAATAATTCATTGTCATCGTTCTCAGCACTCTCCAATATTCTCTGAATGAAATATATTTGATGTTTAATTATTTCTGAAAGTGTCAAATACAATATTCTAGTCCTATGGTAAACTCTTAATTCAGTATGGTCAACTTACACAACCCACAACAAGTAATTACTCTCTTCGTAAATATTAACAAAGGTGGTATTTCTTAACCACAATTTTAAAGAACGTATTTACTTCAAACTTCTTTCAGTTGCAGATTGACAGTTGCGGAGTAACAATAATGGCACTAATATAAACCAGATCAAAGTTTTGCAAACGATACTGTTGTGTTTCAATTCAAAACTAATGTATAGTAGTTTTAGTTAATTTAATAGTTGATTATCTTTCTGTGCAACACAAACTTTGCGCCTACAAAAAAAACATATCAGCTTACAGATACCACTCTATTCTAAGTATAATTTAGCCATATTAGTTTAAAATGCAAACAATAAAATGAAATTTTTAAAGTAAAATTTTAAAAAAGTGCCACTTCTTAGACAAACATATAAGACGTTTCGTTATTGGTATCCACCAGTTTATCATGATAATCTATCGTAAAATAATTCAAGCACATGCCAAAACGCTTTGAGCAACACTAGTCTGGGGAAATTTGAACGTACCTGATTACTAAGCATCGCAGCATAAAGACCGTTTTCAGCTACAAGTTCAGCGTGTGTCCCAGATTCGCGAACCACTCCCTTATCAAGCACGACTATCAAATTCGCATTACGAACTGTTGTAAGACGATGAGCAACAACTACCACAGTCCTCCCCTCAATCGCTTTATCCAAAGCCATTTGGACAAGATGTTCTGATTTTGCGTCAAGTGAGGACGTTGCTTCATCCAACAGCAGCAACTTCGGCTTTCTAATAAGAGCTCGAGCGATTGCTATACGTTGCTTCTGACCACCTGACATTCCGCCACCTCTTTCACCCACAAAAGTGTCGTATCCCTGAATTCATAAAATGATAACAGTTCAAATTTTAGTTGAGTAGATAATATTACTTCGGGTAAATGGCCTAAATTTCAACATTGTTGAGATGGCTTACATCTGGGAGTTGTTGAATGAAACCGTGAGCGTTGGCAAGCTTTGCAGCTTCTTCTATCTCATCTTGAGTTGCATCCAGCTTCCCTAACCTTATGTTATCACTGATAGTTCCTTCGAAAAGTACTGGTTCTTGCTGTACACAGCCTATCTGATTACGATAAGCTTTCAGGTCCAGATTCTTGATGTCCTCATCCTCGATTAATACCTAAAACATCAAATATAATACAACATGTTTAGATTAACGGTAATTAAATAACGAAACAAAATAAAATAATCTTGTCAGAAATTTTGCCCGGATTCAAAAGAGTGGTTTCACAGTAGTCGGAGCAGTGTATGGAAGAAATTACAAAGAAAATAATATTTGCAAAACTTCCAGTGATTGAGATTAAAAATAGCTCTAGTATCTAGAACTCTAGACATCAAGTCTGTCTCTTTCTTGATCAAATAGAACTTCACAAACGATTTTGTAACTTTTAACATCGATTATCTGTTTGTTTTTCTTTACTCCCTTTCGCATATATTTTCAAGTATCTGATTAGTTAAACAATTATTATTATTTAGTTTTGTTGACTTTAATCTTAAAACTTATTGTTTTACGTTTTGACCTACAACCAGTATTGAAACGCTGATTCATACTTCTATCGAAATCACTATTCTTATTATTACCAATATACCCATCAGCTAATCATTAATTCGTACTTTTGCCTATGAAGTCTACTTTATTGTTATAATTGACTCATAAACTTCGTTTGTCGGCTTATTGGTTTTCACATACACACAAAAGCACTGCTAAATACTGTAGCAAATCCTAATGACTATCTAACTGAAAACATGTGTGTTGTTCAATGAAAATGGCCAACTAATTCAACTATCGATAAGTAATTTATTACAGAATATGTATTTAGATCGCTTCAGAAATATATTCATGAAATTTCATTACCGTGGATAAGCATTTTTATTAGTGGAAACGCACTGGTCACTTGGATAAGTCTTTCATCCTCTATTTACATGTATTAATGAGATGAATCATGTCTCAAGTTTATGGGACATTTCAGTTATAAAACTCATTGTTAGAGTGTGAAGTGACCACCCTTGTTTAGAAAGCACACATACTGCATGGACACATCTTCTAATGAAACCTGTAAAAACATATCAAAATGAAGCTAATTCAAAGTACTGCATACCTCGCCTTTCGTTGGGTCATAAAATCTTTGCAACATATGAACAACGGTACTTTTCCCTGAACCGCTCGGTCCAACCAATGCCACAGTTTGCCCACTTTTGATGCTTAAACTAAAATTCTTTAAAACCTACAAAGTAGAGTTAGTACACACGTATATAGCAGACGGTGCACTCAAATTGAGTAAAACTTAATTGCATTTAAAAGTAAAGGGATAAACGTTTTCTCATTGACATCTCATATGCTCTTATCGCCAACCAGTGTAAAACGATGAAAGGAAATATTTCTGGCGTTGTTCATTAAATAATACAGGAGGTAATCTATGCTAATTTATGAGATGACACCTATAAATAAAACGCAGGAAAAGCTATTCACGAGACGATTGTTCCTGTCACTGGCTTACTGTCATGTTAATGTAACAATATAGGTATGCATAGACCGAGTGGTGATACAAACATCAGTTTAGTATGGAAACATAGATATCTTTTCACTTGTATCTTTATAAAATTTCCCAAAAATCATGTATAACCTCTGGCTGAGAAAAAGCGATGACACACTAAAGCATATCAATAAACTTCAGATCTTATATTGACTTAGTGAGTGACGTGTTTTCAGCTGAAGAGTACCCAAGACGGTGTACAATTATATTATTTCAAAAAACATGTCCATACATCCAACTTGCGATTTATGCAAACATCTTATTGAAAAACTAATAGTGTACTATATGTTTGATCACTTCCTGGGTGTTTTAAAACAGTACAGAATCTGGAAGAACATATTTTTCAATATCTCTCCATCCACGACAACTTCAGTCAACTTTTAAAAGTTACTAAACTGGCACATTAGCAGAGATTCTGATTTACTCACTGCAATATCTGGTCGACTTGGGTATGCGAAAGAAACATTTCTGAATGTGACGTTCCCAGAAAAGTTCGGAATCAGCCTTCCGTGACAGTCTTTGTCAATTTCCGGGACCTGAAATAAAGTAGTAGGTATAAAGTAGTTAGCGGCTTCCTAACAAGCTACAACAAATCTGAATATGTCGGCAGTTTGCCCGGAAGCAAAAAAAATAAAAGTGATAAACAATTCAATCCCATTGCATGCTGCATGAAATTACAAACAAATTCATTAATTTAGAACAGTGTATCATTAAAGTTCAGGAAACAATTCACCTCAAATATGGATCAATATCTCAAAAGGCCTAGCAGAACTCCACAATCAATTATCCGATAATCTGTACTTTAAATGCACTGGATATCAACATCAGTAACTGTTATCTAAAGACTTGTGTGAAGTAACAAATTACCAAACATTGTTCTATTCATAACACACATGTCTTCGTTATTTGTCCCTCTAACTTCCTTCTGTGATCTCATAAAATCTCACACCGTTTTTGTATTTGTGACACAGGACCGTAACTACATTTTCTACAAACCCTGTGTTTTGAACAATTACAAACGTTTAACATCACAAAATAGGTAGTTTCAAAACAGATGTAGATATCCTTAAAGTCTGAACGCCAGTCTTATCACAATTCCAAATACGGAGTTACTGTAGTGTTGGTTACTGTTTCCATTGTCAGACATCCAAAAGAAAATCCAATCACTTTCAGAGAACAAAGGTAATCACAATCGACGTGCATTTTATTATCAACAATCAAAGTTTCTATTTTGATCTACTAGTGCTGAAGAACGTTAATAATCAGTCGGCTATTTCCCATTTTATATTATTGTAAATGGGACATAATAGTAGCTTTCATCTCGAAGACTGTACTTTGTTATCGTCATTAATTTAAGCTTGAGATTGTAGAAGAGGAAATATTTCTTCAGTATTTCTCAAATGAATGGCCAGTGAGCAGGTAAGGGAATATTTCTTATAAAGCTATCATAAAACAATTGATCAATGACATCTAAGCAACTTTACAAGATAGGTTGTGGGATAAACTCACACGCTCGATAATACTGTAAATTTCAGTGGCTGACGCCTGTGCGTTCATAAAATATTGGAAACTTGGTAAAGCGTTACCCAGAAAAACACTTCCTAATAGAACATTCACGAAAATCTGGAAAGGCATAACAATAATGAGTGAAAACTATAGAAGTTTCAATTTGACGTGTTACTAAGATATACAGGTGATGAATATACTGAACGGTCATTTTCAATTCTGAATCCTCACTCGTTTCTTCTTAAAACACATGCAGTTACCTCTTAAATACAAGCCTTAAACGATTCTCTCATCAGATTGTAATCGAATAATTCATTGGCCATACCTAAAATAATGGCCGTAAATTATAAACGTAAAAGGTGAAATGTAATCTTTCGTAAGATTTTTAGCTCTGTAATGTAAAAATACATTGCTCAAATATTTACTTTTTTCAGTGAAAAATTTTCATCCGGTAAAAATATCGAGCGTAGGAAGAACGTATTTTGGGATATGGATTCATTAAAAAAACAAACTTATAGTACTGGTTAATTTTATACATAGGACATCACATGCATTTATTATAACGATTATTATGTAGGTAGCTTGATTTGACATTGACAAAGGAAATAATTAGTGCAGATGTTTACTGTTTTGTGAATTATAACAAACAACTACAATTATTTTACAATCAACAGGTTACGTTGAATTGCTAAACATATACTGCCAAACTCTTAGGCTGTTTTTTTTCCGGACTACCTGAGAAGATTCAAAGGTAACGAAATTAATTTGATCTTAAGAATAGAAAGAAATTGGACCATATGAATTGTTTTATTAAGGGACTTAGACTTCGTGATTATTAAGAAACAATATTTTCAAAATTAAGTCCACTTTAGAAATGACATATTTTCATCTCTAATGATAACGCATAAACTTTATGAAATGCAAACATTCCAGAGTAATGATCTTCCCATTCAATATATTGTATGAGGACCTAAAGATGTGTGAATAAAATGCCAAGCACATCGCTTCACTAATTACTGGAATCGGGATTTTGTTTTAAACAACTTATTCTTACAAAGCCTCCCTCTTAATCTTATCATAGTAGATTTCGAGATTTATGTCAAATCACTGTTTGGCTTAAAAACTAAGATTACATACCGTCACAATAGCTCCAGCGTCATAATCTTCATTTACTATTAATTTAAAGCCATACCAAAATAGTAGAGCAGTAGAACAAAACACAGTCAGTCCAATTGTCCCATTAACTAAAAGTAGGAAAAATCACAAGTCAGTAATTCATAGTACAGTATTGAACTGCATAACATGTACACATTTGCTTCTCCTCTTTATTGCAAACCAATAAAATTAAAATTTCCTCCATCAAATGTGCACGATTGAGTAGTTTTGGAATAATTTCATTATTCTGTAAAGTTTTCTCCGAAATCTTTCATAGACATGAAGTACCTACTTTTTAGTTAGAAGTATACGAACCTATAAAACCTCGATATACTTGAGCATCGTTCTTTTCTTGATTTGAAGGAAGTCAGAACATATTCAATTCTTACGAATTTCACTTGCATAATTATGCCAACTTTTATGTAATTCTGATTAGAAAATGCGAGTGCTGATAATTCACTGATGAGAACGTAGCAAAAAAACCATCAAAGGAACCAATTGACTGAAATAAATTGAGTCCACGCTAGTTTGCTCAAGCTTTAATCTTGCTACGTCAACTTATATGTATCCTTCTCTGAATGACAATCGTGGCATTTGTATTCATTGTTGATTCCTTTGTACTTGATTGAGCGCTGATTACGAATTCCAAATATAGTACGTTCATTTGTGCTAATCTAGTTCTACCTGACTTGAATTGCACTATTTCGGGAATTCTTAGTACATTAATTCGAATACAACCAATCGTCATACAATCCAACAAAATTGATCTGTTGATGACACTCTGGATTCACATGACAGATTAGTCAGGTTGTTCAGTGAAACGTTTGACTTTTGATATTGTTTCCGTACTGCAGTTAACAAACAGTAATGCTGATGGATACCACTGCATTATCAGCAATCTAATTATAAAGGATAGATGAAACCATGCATATTTTAGCCTGTAATCTCATCAAAATATTTTACCTCATACTTGTATCATTTATCTAAATTATCGAATGCCCGACATTTGCTGTCTGTAATACATACAGACAAATGCACATTATCCTTCAAAAGGACAGATTATAACTGAGGACAGTGAGAGCAGATACTACATCCAAATATTGTCATATTTACGATTGAGATATGCAATCTAACTTTTAAAATAACCGTTTTTTTTTCTTAATTGAACATGTTAGCGGAACAGACTAACGATTGCAAATCTCAGACAACAACAAATCAAGTTCTGTGGTTATTACACATGCCGGTACTTACCTGCACCTGATGCCACTACTTTCTTCAGCCCAGCTTTTTCTGCCGTTCCCAGTTGCTCACGGTATCTTTTCAACTCCCTTTTCTCTCCACCGAACGCAACAACGGTGCGTATAGCTTCTAGGACTTCGCCGGCAACAGCACCAGCGCGTGCGTATGCAACTATTTCCTTACGGGTGAAGTATTTCATCAGAAACCCAAAGCACCCAAAAACTGCACCGATGATGGGCAGTATAGCGCAAGCAACCAAGGCAAGTTTCCACCCAACTGCGAAGTTAATTATAATACCTACTATGAATCCAGACAAGTTTTTAATGAAATCGGTCAATGTTGAACCCATCCCTAGTTGAATGTTGTCAATGTTATGAGATAGTTTGCTGATGAGTGATCCAGATGACTGTTCATCAAACCACGCAACGTCCTGGCGTAAAATGCTCTGAAAAATAACAGTTGGCAATGTTTTTCATTAAATCTAAACAGATTGGCATATTAAATAACCGAAAATTTACTTTTATGAGAAATAACCAGAAAATTGTATGCCTCAGTTATTTAAAGCACAAATTTTTATTTCCAAACAAAGCAGAACTCACCTAGTTTGCGTTCCGACATTAAAGCTTGTTCAGAAAAGTTTGCTATTATTTGCTAAATCACTAGTTTTTCTGCACGCCTCTACAATGTCATCGTGAATCGGTTATATTAACTGGTTTGAATAAGCCTAGTTTTCTTACTGATATTTTCAAACCAAACACCTGATATAAGACTAAGCAATAAGATAAAATGTGTTCAAAATACATTTCAATTAACAGTAAGCTTCTTATTATTCAACCGTAACTACCGAATAAGAATTGGGAGAGATTCGTTAACAAAAACACTAGATCACCACGTCGCAAGATTTTCTATGACCTTAACTTGGCTACAATAAAAGTTTCAGCACTCTGTCCTCTTGACAGTCAAATAACTGAACACTAAATTTTGTCTAAACGATTATGAACTTCAGAACTATATGTAGTATTATTTAGTTATTCCTTGTACAATACCAACTCTGTATTCGAATGCGCTAGAAAACATTTGTTGTTATTACAGTTGCTCAGTCAGTGTAGTTTAAAAAATAAAACCAACTTTCAAGAAGCAGTTAAATAAACATACTCTCTTAGATCTCATAGACATTAGCATGTAAAATGAATTCATTTTGAGTTGCATTTGGAATGCGAGACACTATTTTAGTTGGTTTTCATCCAGACTATCATTCTTGCTCATTAATACGTCATCTAATACTAACATGTTTTATATAAACAATGATTCCTGTAACATAATGCTCCAGAAAACGTAAATAATAAAAAACATAGTCGACTTACTGCTAGCACTGATGTAAATAACAAGATAGATTAAATATCTGTTACAAAAACAAACGTGTTGTGAAATATTTTTACGATAATAGACCATGTTCATTTATTAAGCATTCACTTTCATTCATTGTAAGTAGAACTTTCTTTCTTTCCAAGTAAACTATGTAGGTGAATTAAGACAGACATGTGGTTACACAAACCAATAATATACCTCGATATTTGCTCTCAGCAGTTTATTCCATTCTCAAATGTATTGAGTGAACTTGACAACGGTTGAAGCTAGTAGATGGATTTTAAACAAAGTTACAACTTGACTAACGGTAGAGTTTTCAATTATATACTAGCACATAGAAATCTCTGAGATAAAAACCCTTATGAATTCGCTTGAAAAAATAACCATTCGTTGATTTCAAAGTAAACGTCAACCTAGATACTAAATATTTAGTTGATATCAGCTGACATGAACAATAAAGTTCAGTGAGAAAATTATTCCGAAATATTTATAATTTGAAAAGACTGTAAAATGTACATTACTCTGAAATACAGCGAACGAATTCGGTTAATTTGCCTGATTGTGAACAAATTGATCAAGAAATCTTGACCGAATGCTAATAATAACACTGTAACACCCACAAGAGCAAACCATTTGGAATATACATAGATGCTTTCTTTGAGAAAAATTTCCTCGGTGAAGTCGTTGACTACACCCCTCAGTATAAGAGAATGAACGGGTAGTAAAGCTCCAACTATTGTAGCGAAAATAACTGCCATGAATAATGCGCAATACTCGCTTTTATCTGTATTTCTGAACTAAATTATTTTTTAATAAACTACATTTTAATATAGATGCTTTACCAGTGCCCATGGTTTACTTTTTTTATACATGTGAACTTTGTAGTTAATAAATTAGTCGCCGTTAGCAAAATACTTATCCCTTGAGCACGATATTCAATAGTATCGATCGAATAGGTGTAGATGATCTGCTTCAAACTGCGCAATTAAACAAGCTTTGGTATTACACAACATATTCGAAACAACGGATGTTTTGATACACGAAGTAATCTAGCAGTATGAATTTTTTGGAAATATTGATGGAATATATCCATGTTTTTAGTTATCTATTTAGTAAATACCACTTATATTTGGTCACATCTTAGGTAGTTAAGGCCAACAACAGAAGAAACAGAAGAGATAAAAAAAAGGTCACGGACAAAAACAGATACACTATTTCATCACCAATCAACTGAGTTATACGGAGGTGGCGTAGCTTACACCATTAAATCTGCGTGTCTCACTCGTCCCACATGGCCTCTCACTGACGCTTATGCGTCATTGAACGATGATTTGTCGACCTAAGCATGACTCTGCAACCTAACTGTAAGGCACAGTCTATTATTGCATCTGGCTTTTCTCAGCCATATTGGTGTTTGTCTCAACAGTGTTACCTCACCTCACTTCCTTACTAACCCTACCAGAGCTAAACACAATGAGCATACGGCCTAATTTCTGATGTATTAGCCTGAAGGCTTACTCTCTGGTGTCTGTGCCCAGGTCTCCATCTTAAAAAGTCTTCATCGTTATCGCGGTTATATTTAGCCTCAGATCCTTTAATATTCATGCTAACCCAGCTTAAGTCATTCATCTTCAACCGTCAGTGTAACTTAGGTTTTATACAACTGGCTCACTGCAATTATTCTATTTTCTCGACAAAGGATGAGGACGGAAACACGTGCGATCTGAAGCTGCCCTCAGTTCTGGTCCTTTCAACAGGGTCCAACTGTAGCACTCTTCCATCGCAGCTCGTAACTACGTATGTCTTAACTCACATGCCCTTAAGTTGTACTGATTTCGTATTTACAACTAAAGATGCCACAAGTACTTTAGGTTCGACAACACCTTAACCAGCAACACCTTTTGTAATGGAAACATGCCAACCCAGTCAAATCAGAAGTCAGAGGCGAACAGACTCGAAGATTCATTTCATAGAATATCGATATATCAAAGCTGGTTTGAAGCACTTGCGGTTGTCGGAGAAATGAAACACTGAGCACTAACTCGTGGTCTGCCGCAGTAGCATGACTGTGCGCCACTGAAATTAATGCTTTCAGCATCAAATATCGAGAGCTTACAGAGGTATTTATTTTGGGGACTCATTTAACGCTACAAAATGTTATAGGTCATCACAAAATTCCCACTAGCACCTGTAAATCATCAGTCTCCATATAATATTAGCTGTCTCAACGTACACTTACAGACTCAACCTAATTCTAACACGCGATCAAAGACAAATCGCCATACCCAGACTTGAGACGATAACACAACTAATAAATGATAATCAAATTGTTAGTTAATAATCGTGGCAAGATAAATTATTCTTTAACCACGTTGCCTAGCAAGGTGACTGGAATAAGCGTAACCACAAATGGCACCAGCCGTTTGACACTTTCCAGTGCAAATTATTCAGAAACACAGTAAATGTTCTAATAAACTCTACAATAATATATATACACTAATGTAAAAGTGTGTCGTCTCATACTTTGCGCTTCCTTATGGGATACTGAACCATTCGAATTTATATTGTTGGGCAGCGGAGATATTCTATCTTAACCTTCGTGCTGGCGATCAATCGAACCATCTAAGAAACTAAACTTTCAGACATCCCTGATATATCAGCCATTTTAGTCTACACATCTTCTGTTTCTGAAAATCCGTTTTCGCTGATGTGGACGTTGTAAACCGTTTCAAGTGGTTATTTAATTAGAATTCACTTGTTAGGAACAATTACTCGCCCTGATCTGCGTATTTTTCCCAGGTCACCTACAATTATTTCACACATGTAGTTATATACTTTTTGAATAACCTATTTTTGAACTAATATTTTAGGTACTTTGTCTCCATGTCCTGACAGTCCATTTGTACTGTTTTCTCCTTTTGTACAATCTCTCATCACTTAGCAAAAGCAATTTATTCGATGTTAAAAATTCGAAGTATCTAGCACCATTCGTCACGTGATAGTGGCCTAATATGTAGAACCCCTTTGGACTTGCTTACAAACTTCTCATGTACCAAATACTGCCACTCGTGGCGCTCGACATTTGCTCTTCTATGCATATATGTCTTTCACATAGATCTTCACAACAACTAACCTGGTAGATTTTCACCCTGCATCTGCATGTAACAACCGTTAATAATGATAGAAATAATAGAACATTCTAAAAGTCAACGCAGAATGCACATCATTGTCTTTGATTTTCATCTTCAAGCTTATATAAAGACTACTGTATAAATGGAAAATATTTTTATATATACTAACCTAAATATGCGTCCAATAACACACCATCCTATGCTTTTTCACTACTTTGGAACCCTCAAAGTGATCAACCTTATTTGTAATCCTATAGAATTAATCGAAATTCCACTTTTAAAATAAGCTAAAATAAAGTATGACATGGCCTCTGTCCAACATCGTACTAGTCACTGAGGCCTGACAATGACGCTAATTGTGCAGAAATTTTTCGGTCATGAGCTCAATGATTATGCCAGTACAATCAACCATGAGTTCACAAGCCCGAACAAATAATCATTTGAGCAACTAAATGGTACTCGTGATTCCGAACTGGGATATTCTAAAATCTATCATTCACCGAGCAAGCTTTACCTTGAGTCTCTAAAGATTTCAAACATTTTGTATTTGTTCAATCACATCGATAAACCAGGTTTTTAAACTTATTTAAACTAGTCGGTTAGACGATTTAAGTGTTGTTGCACATTAAACAAGTCCACCCAAACTGCATTAATGAAAGTCAAAAATAATAGTAGCATTTAGAATTTCACCAAAATGTAACACTGTTTGATACAACTCGTCCAACTCTTTCGAGGTTGGGCAGCAAATACCAAATGGATTTACGCTTACGAACCAAATGAGGCCAAAATCAATGTAGTTAGATAGGTGAATAGGAAAATTTTGTATATAATCGTAAATTTATCAAAGTATGATTCAGTACAATAGTTGTGTAGACAAAGATCATTACACGCTATCGACAGTCTGGTCTATTTGAGTCTCGAGAACAGGCTAAGACTTCTTCCTCACTTCATTTGATAGAGTTCGATCATCAGATCTTGACTTCACCCGTTTCACTGACTTATGTATGTTGGAAACCACTTGACGCACTCAATCTAAAAGTCATTAATTCCTATTATCTTTTAGAGACGATGGTTGAGTCATGGCTCATTTTCAATAATTAGCCAGGAATCTTTGGGCTTATTCATTAAGTGCAGACATTTGCTGTATGTACTAGAATGACTGTCTCTGTACTTCAAACATATGTGAACTGAGTCTGCTACGTTTTCCTCAGAAGGCTAATATCTTCATAGGCCCATGATAAGAAGACTATGGATGTCCAAAATTCCGTTCGCCCGCATTGAATGTACAAATCACTGAAGTCTAATAATACGCCACAACAGAGAGTAGATAAAGGAGCCTCACGTTGACCTCACCATTTTAGTGTTTATTCTATTACAGAGATGAGCTTTAAACGTCCCCGACTGACTATTCTTGTCACGGATTGCCGTCTCTTCCTTTCATTCTAGACAGGATTTGCTAAAACGATATGGCTTCAAGGTTGGTTTAAGTTTCATAAAGTGAGAATACAGTTGTTGGAATGCGCCACCTAGTTGCTAAGTATTTTTACTTATCGGTCTTAAAGACAAAGAAATCAAACATTGTATTCCAGGATAAACTCAAACTACAAACTATAGAAAGTAGTTTAAGATTTATAGTCTTGAAACGGCAGCTTTATCATAAAGTAGAATCGATCTAAATACTTCTGAACATATCGCCACACACCGCCAACAGATGACAGGTAATTGCAAAAGCATAAACTCATATCTATCACCTCTCGAACATTAGTGAACAACAGATAAAAAATAACTAAATACAACCGGGGACGAACAGCATTTCGCGGCTACCTAACCTAACCTACTCTCCATACTCAAGAAAGTTGTTTCTAAATGCTGTAGTTTGTGTACTGACAATTCAAAATCGTCTACTAAATTAGAAACCCATATTTCAGAGGGTGACTCAGCTTGAGCGTAACGATTTAGCAAGCTATTAAAACTACTTGATATTTTCAACGCTTACTCGCCAGTAGAACATTTCTTCCAAAGCCTGTTCAAATTCTGTAACCTACGAAGTTTCGGTTGTATTTATAAACCTTCTAGACCCCGCCTAACTTCGTGGATATTGAAACGATGACATCAATCTACAGAATATACTGACTTATCCGCTTTTTAAGATGAACCATCCTCTAATTGAGAAGCGTAAGTGCAACGAACTCAAGTTTTCTATTTCTCAGATGTATAGAAACTCAACCATTTAGAGGAATGGCATTAGCTAGATTTGCGATAAACAAGAATGAGTAAATATAAGGATCGAATGGCATGGCTCGGCCATGCGGGCGTGGTGCTTGCTGAATGTTATCTTATATCTTTTATTCATATTAAATATATTGTCCTACATCACGTATTGGCGATTTTTACGATACGATGATTTGGTGTAGACGATGGTATGACTTCTACGTAAGATCTTATAGATTAGACAGTTATATCATGACAAATCTACAATTTTAGGATTAGGTCTATTATTAGCTCAGTACTAATATCATAGTAGACTATAATTCTACAGACCTCTTAATTTTTGTTTCTTCACTACTTGATCAGGAAGTAATAATGCACTGAATATTCCTGTTTCAAATAAATTGGAGTACGTTGTTCGGGCATAATAAGTGGCCGATAATACTCGCCTTTTTTATTTTGACGTGCGGTGTCCGAAATGTGATGCTGGTTCGCGATGTGCTACGATCCCCCCAAATGACAACTCCAGAGAGGACACAAGAGTGAACGAGAAATTATGTTGAACTACCGAACGAAATGCGTTAACACATACATATACCACATACACATACCATACATATGTCACTACTGGAGAAATCGACCTATTGACCCTAATGAAATTCTCTGAGCTTCAGGTAATTTTTGATTGCCATCGACTGACCTTTACACTAGATTACTTCTGATTGGCTCTCTATACCATTTTGCCCTCCTGAAAAACACGTCTTACGCCTTGGACTCAACTGAACACGTTGAGGGGAATATTTTCTTGATGATTTTCTTTGCGTCCAGCCACTTTTTCCGCTTCGATTTCCATTTTCCATACTGCACGTTTGAACTAAGAGCTTTTTTTCTGAAATCAAT